TAATATAAAATGCAGGTTAGGTAGGCACAAATTCAAGCATAGGTCAAGACCACCTCTCTGGTTTGTGCTTATAGACTTATTAAAGAAGATGAAGATACTTTGCTGTTAATTTTATGGTTTGAGGGGGCTCAAGCTCTCAGAAGTTATTAAAGCTTTTAAGCATTTTTCCTCTTATTTTCTTTTAAAATCCTATTTCCTTTTAATCTATTTGGGGTTCAAAAAAGGGAAATAGATAAATAAATACCATCCTCTTTCCACATGGTGATTAGAGAGAAAATCCTTCATATGAGAAGCACTATAGTTTGAACGTGTTCCCCAAAGTTCATGTGTTAGAAACTAAATCCCCAGTGTAACAGTGTTGAGAGGTGGACCTTTAAGAGATGCCTCATAAATGGATGAATGCTGTTATCCCAGGAGTGGATTAGTTATCACAGGAGTGGATGCCTGATAAAAAGCATGAGTTTGACCCTCTTCCTCTCATGTGTGTGCACACGCTTTCTTGCGTTTCTGTAGGTCTGTCGACCTTGGATTTGCCAGACTCCACCACTGTAAGAAATAAATCTCTGTTCTTTATGAGTTACCCATTCTCAGGTATTCTGTTACAGCAACACAAAAAGAAATAGGACAAGAAGGGTCTATGTGCTGGTAAGAACACACACTTACCAAAGACCTACATGTGCCAGGCACCTTTCTGCCTTTATTGTCTCTCTGAGCTGGTATTTTATTGTCCCTCTTTTACATGTGAGGAAACTGAGACACTTAGAAGATAAGCAACTGTCCCCATTCCAGAGCAGGAACTCCATAATTATCTGTCCCTTCCTTCCTTACCAGACAGCACAGAGTGTATTTATCTCCAGCATGCAACAGAATTGATTACCTGAGGCCCATTCTGTGAGACCTGTTCTCAGGGCTCCACAATTTAGTTTCACGTTATAATAATAAAAAACACAAAAAGTGACTTCTCAGAGATCTGTGGGCCTTTCTGGAAGTGTTGTAAAAACCCAAAAGACAGCAAAGGAATTCAAAGTTCTACGGCTCTTCAGCTTGTAAACCTATGGGTCTGGTCAGGTCCCCATGAGATACCAGGTCATGCCAAATCCTCAGTTACACTGTGTAGCACTGCTGAGAACCGCACTGCTCTTAGGCACAGCAAGGACTCTTCTATCTCGGGCCTTTGTACTTGCTCTTTCTGCTCCTGGACCACTCTTCTATGCCCTTTGGTTCTCAATGCTCAAATGCCATCTCCTCAGAGAGGCCCTCCTGACTTCCCCACCAATTTCTCTCTAAGCCTTTACCCAGCTTATCTTTCTTCACAGCACACACTAAATTACATATTTACTTGTTTATTGTATCTCCTCTACTAGATGGAAGGTTCTTGAGGGCCAAGACTTTATCTGTTTTGTTCACTGCTGTATGCCTGGTGCCTGACATAGAATAAGTGCTCATTAAATAATTGTTGAATAGGCCGGGTGTGGTGGCTTATGCCTGTAATCCCAGCACTTTGGGAGGCTGAGGTGGGCAGATCTTGAGGTCAAGAAATCGAGACCATCCTGGCCAACATGGTGAAACTGTCTCTACTAAAAATACAAAAATTAGCTGGGTGAGCTGGCACACGCTTATAGTCTCAGCTACTCAGGAGGCTGAGGCAGAAGAATCTCTTGAACCCAGAAGGCAGAGGTTGCAGTCAGAGAAGATCATGCCACTGCACTCCAGCCTGGTGACAGAGCAAGACTCCATCTCAAAAAAAACACAAAAAACAAAAAACAAAAACACACAAATTCATGTTGCAAAATGTAATGGATATTTAAGAGAAATAAATGCCTACTCCTATCAAAGAGGAATAAAGCAGGAAAAGAGGGCCCAAAAGGGTACTACAGAAATCAAAAATCTTGCCTCAGATGATCAAAATGTTTAGGCTGGCTTTGCCAAAGCCATGAGAAACATGGACATTTAAAAGCACAAATTCATCTTGCAAAATGAAATGGGTATTTAAGGTAGTTCATTCATGCAAAAAGAAAAAAAAAAGAATCCAATCAACGAGTTTTCCTTAAATAGGTAGATTAGGTAGATTACTTAGGCAGTGTGTGGCTTATGTAAGTAGTAACCATATCATCTGCATCCTTTTGAGAAGAGCAGAAAGGCACTTGTACTCAAGCTGTCATCCTAACAAAGCAATTCATGGTTACAGACCCACCTCGAGTTGCCTCTGGCATATGTGGACTGTTGGGCAGTGCCCAGAAGTAGCACTGTGAGTGAAGAAGTCGCTTTGGCAGCGGCAGTTACAAAGTCCTTTGCTCACACACTTCAACTAATGTCCAACAACCGCCCCAAGACCGAGTCACATCTGCCCCACACAGTGCCTCTTCAAGCTTCAGGGCTCCTTGGAGCTAGGGTGGTGTATGAAGGGCCATTCTGTATCACGTCTCTAGGCCATATCCATTAAGGGATGACCTTGCTTTCTGCTTGAAGGTGTTTTGTTTTGTTTGAGACAGTTTCACTCTTGTTGCCTAGGCTAGAGTGCAATGGTGCAATCTCAGCTCACTGCAACCTCTGCCTCCCTGGTTCAAGCGGTTCTCCTGCCTCAGCCTCCCGAGTAGCTGGGATTACAGGCATGCACTATCATGCCTAGCTAATTTTGTATTTTCAGTAGAGATGGGGTTTCTCCATGTTGGTCAGGCTGGTCTTGAACTCCCGACCTCAGGTGATCTGCCCGCCTTGGCCTCCCAAAGTGCTGGGATTACAGGCGTGAGCCATCGTGCCCAGCCTCTGCTCTAAGTTCTAAATAATTCGGTTATCTATACATTCAGCCAGAAACTAAGAAGCCTGGAAAGGACTTTCCAGAAACTGGAGAAAATATCCTAGGCCTGGAGTGATCGTTAGTCACAATCCAGGGCAGGCTACCCCAGTTCTTGGGGACTCCTCCCTAGCACTGGTTACTGAATGAAGAGGGCCCTCCTTTTTCCTTTCTGCTGCCTCAGCCAGCACACAGATCCTTTTTAAGGATTTTATTTCAAATCACCATGTGGAAATAGGGTTAAACAAACAGACAAACATACAAAAGTCACAAAGGTTGCAGGGTCTTGAAAAGCTCTTACACTTATTGCCCTGGAACAATTCTTGACTCCTTTCTGAGATGGTAACTGGCAGCCCAGTTAAACGTCTGTTTTCTGTTTTTACTTCAGAAAGCAGAAATCACAGAATCTCTTGCTTCCTTGTTCCAGGCTTTCTGGAGACCCAGACAGACCCTTTCTTCCCTTAAGACAGCAGATGTCACTGGAATGCTAAGTGATTGTTTATCTAAAATGCAATTTTAAAAATTTCTTGTCTTTCCCTGACACTTGGCAACATGCTGTGTCCATAGTAGAAGCCCAGCGGATCCTAACTATTGATGGGTAGTTAGAAAAAGACCTAAGTGGACTTCACTTTGAGATTCTCCTCAGTACAGACTGAACAACTTGTTGCTTTGTTCTGAGGCTGCCCCAAGTAGCCATCCTACAAGTTGGTAAGAAACAACATTCTTTAGCAGCCTCGATGCCACTGGCAGGGTGATGGCCACAGCCTGCTTTCATAAGCAGGAGGCAGAGGCATTAGTTGCATTGTATCTGTTTGTTGGTGTGAATGTGGTCCTGCACTGTGAGTCTTCAAAACAAAACTTGAGGTTGAATCCCTTTTGTTAGGGTAGATAAGGGAGTGCATTGAGCTCCATGGAAAACAGACAGGAGGACTCTGACAGATGGGGAAAGGGGCACCCCCACAGCAGGGGGTCAGCCTGGAAGTGGGTACTATAGCAACACGCTAAGAATTATTCTGTGAATTAAGGGATGGTTGGATTCACTGGATCTGCCCAGGCGGGGAACCTGGCTGGGTCTTTGTCAGTGAACAGATGAAAAGCTTGCTTGCATCTGTGTAAGTTGACAGTTTGGTTGTGTTCAGACAGCTCTACGCTATGGAGATGACATTACTCCTGAGTTTTACTGCATGCATTTATGTAAATCAGTGGCATACCAGGGAGGGTGGCAGCAGGAGTGATCTGCCCCAGCTACAGGCAGTACACAGTAAATTTGTGTGTCTGCAAAGAATTTTAAAATAAAATTGACTAAAAGTCAGTTTGCTTTTTATTATTATGCTCCAACAGTTCCAAACAATGTGGTAAAATACTCCTCCCTCCTAGGGACAGACTTTACCTATGCTGCCCCGAGGCACTCCCTCCTTGGTGCACCACTGGGATAAACAAGCACCAGGTGGGAAGATTATAAATCAGCAAGAGAGTAAACAGAAAGCAAGTGACTCCTGAGATAAGATGTTTTCATCACAAACACTCTATTTGGTAGAGCTTAGAGTCATTGATCTGTGATGGGCATTTCTTTTAGCTTTGTGTTTTGGTTATCTATTGCTGCTTTAAAAACTACCCCAACATTTAGTGCCTTAAAACAATGATCATTTACTTGTTCACAATGCTGTCATTTTGGCAGTGCTCCGTGGGGATGGCTTATCTCTGTTCCATATGGTGTCTGCTGGAGCTGGAACTTCCTAAGGGCTTTCCCACTCATGTGTCTCATAGCTCAGCTGGGATGAGCTGAAGAGCTAGAGCTGGCCAGGCATCTTTCTTTTCACAGGGCCTCTCCCTGTGGCTAGCAGGGTGGTCTCTCCTTATGAGTGGCTGGCATTTTCCAGAGTACAAAGCAGAAGCTGTCGGGTTTGCTTAAATGCTTTTGCTTAATGCCGAGGCTTGGAAGTCTTAGAACATTCTTTCTGCCACATTCTATTGGTCAGATAATCACAGGGTCAGCCCAGATTCAAAGGGAAGAAAAATACACCCACTTCATGATGGAGATACTGTTGTGGTCATCTCTGGAAAAATGATCTACTTCATATTGTTTTCTTCTATCATAACAAGATCGTATGATTTCACATGTTGCTTTAACCATGATAAACCTTGTCAAACTGGAAAAAGGTAGGCCTTTTTCTTTTTAAAAATCAGCCCCTTGTAATTGTCATACCTTGATTCTGAATGTGGAGATGGCCTCTTCAATGGATTCCTAGGGAGAAACAAGAGATCATAGGGCTCCTACCTCAGCATTTGGGAGAAAATATTAGAATGAGCCTGATTTGCAAAAACCTAAAATCCAAAGCATGTTCAAGTCTGTGAGACTATCTAGATCACAGTTTTAGCTCTTTCTCCCAAGACAAGGTCCAATGACCATCATATTTCGATCATTACTCCTTGTGTCTGACAATTCTCTGCACTGCAATTTACATCCTTTAAAACCAGTACTGTTGGAAATGGACTGACTATGTTGTGAGGGTCAGAATATGAGTGTCTTTCAGATACTGTCAGGTGACAGGAATCCCTCGAGGGTTGCTATACAGTTCACCCCGGGTCACAGAAGTACATCCCGGTCCAAACAGTATCCACATTAGAGCTAATAGGCATCAACGTCACTCACCTGCCTTTGCCAGACAGTTAATCCACCTATATGTGGACAGAGCCTTGGTTTGGAAAACACGTTCATGCCCACTGTCTCACTCTCTTGTCACTATAAATAACCTGGTGAGTTGGCAGGCCCGGCGTGAATGCCCACACTTTGCAGGTATGCAAACAGAACAGAGGGCTAAGTTCCCTGGGTCACATGAGGGCTGGGCTGCAGCGCCTGGGGAGGCGGCCGTTCCCGCCAGGTGCGCTTGTTGTCCGCTGGAGCAGAGGCCCCCGAGCCTGCTGACCTCTCTGCCTTCAGGCCTGGTCTCGCAGTCCCTTGTGCCTCGTCTACAGGCAGGCGGAATCCAGAGCGTACAGCAAGCCCGGCCAGCTCTTGATGGCGGTTTCTACAGCAGGTGGGGCCTGGCTCCGTGACTGAATGGCCTCCATCCCTCTATCTGGGGCCCAGCAGCGGCCCCCTCCCAGCACCCTGGCTGCACATCGAACCCTAGGCAGGCCACGTGGGGCTCCCGGAGGCGTTAGCCCCAGCCCTCCCAAGATTCTTAATGTTCCTCTCACAGCAGAAAACGTTCTGCGCCCTTTGTGCCTCAAACCCTCGACCCCGCACTCGGCCAGAAGGGTCGCTGAGGGGGAGCTCCTCCTCTGCCCTTCCAGTCGCCGGCTGGTTCTTCCTAGCCCGCCTGCTACGCGCCCCGCTCCCGCTGGCTCCCGGGAAGCCGGCCCCGGCCCCAGCGCTTCCCTCCCAGGCCTAGCCCCACTCTCCCACCCTTCCGCTCGCCCAGGCCTCCACGCTCGGCTCTGGGTTTTTGTTGCCCGGGCTTGTTTCGGAGCTGAGCGCGCCGCCGGCCGGGCGCCAGGTCACGTGCGTTGGTGACAACCTCTTGCAGGGCGGCCCCGGGGCCCCCGCGCCGCCGATTGGTGGGGCCCGGCCTGGCGCGGCCCGGGGCGGGGCAGCGGGGCCGGACGGCGGGCGGAGCGGCCGATCAGCTGTTGCGAGCGCTGCACAACAACAAAAGGACTTGGACTGACCGGCCTGGGTGCAGCGACTCGAGGGCTGGAGTCGGCCCAGCGCCTGCCGTCCGGGGACCTGAGCGAGGGGAAGCGCAGCCCGGCCCCACCGCAGCTACCTCAGCAGTCCCGCGCCACCCGCGTCCTTCCCCGCCTAGCCGGCGGCCGCCCCCTTCCCCGCGCAGCCCCGCACGGCCCGGGCCCACGTAAGTGCCGGGGGACGGGCGGGCGTCCAGGGCCGCCTCGCTGCCAGTTGGGGCGGCAGCGCTGCCCGCTCCCGACCCCGGCGGGGCTGGCCGCGCGCCCTGCCTTGGGGCGCCGGTTGCGCTTCGAACCTCCTTGCTGCCTCCCCTCGTCGCCGCCGGGCCCGGCTGCCCACCCCGTCGGTTGGTCCTCGGCGGCCCCCGGGGCCCAGAGCGCGAACGGAGGCTGACAGAGGCAGCGACGGCGGCGCGGACAAGGGCCCGGCCTGGCCCCGGCGGTGGGCGGCGGTTGGGTGTTTGGTCTCTACCTCCTCCCCCGAGCGTGGCCTGTTTTCTTGGCCGCGGCGGGACCTCCTCCTCTCACTCCTCCTCACTCCCCTCCACTCCTCCTCCTCCGCCTGCGCTCGGCCGTTGGATGGGGCCGCCCGCTCGACATTCGGCGTCAGGGCTCCCGCGGCCACCTCCGGGACGCATCTCCCGAGACAGAGGCGGTTGGGCTTGTGGCCCGGCGCTCTGTCCTGGCCCTGCCATCCTGTCCCCCGCGCCTGCCCTCCGAGCTCCGGAGGCCCTGCGGCTACGGGGAACCTGCTGCGTGACCCGGTCACCGGCCCCCGCCTGTCCGCGGCCTGTCCCTTGACCGGGCTTGATCTCACTCTTCGCTACCTGCCTTTGCACCTGTGGAAAGAGTACTCTCCTTGGCCCTTAACATTGAGATCCTTTGAATCGCTCACGCTTACTGAGCGCTGAGTATGTGCCATATACTATGTTTTATTGCCCCAGTTGATTCTCATAACCCTATGTGAAATAGGCCCGGCTATCTTACACATAGGAAACCCAAGGCACAGAGAGATTAAGTTGCTCAAGGCCACACAACCAATTAATAAAAGGAAATGGTGTTTGTATTTCACAGTGGCAGCCGAATTTTACCTGGAGAGCCTTTGTTTTGCTTGTATTTCCTGATTATATCTGCTCAGTAGGTTAATTCCAATTCAGAACGGATTAAGGAAGAGCCTCTTTACAACTGTGACTCCCAAGGACTTGGGCACATTGCTAAAAGAGCCTTTTCTGAATGCACAATAGTTTTGGGAAAAGGGGGGAAAATGCGACCCTTGGGGTCATTGAACAGAAGTCATAATCAGTTCCCCCAAGATACTGAAATCACCAGCTTGGTAATTGAAACACATTTTCATTTGCAGATGTGGAAAGCACTGGGAAGCTTTTAAATCGCAATCAATGTAATTCTGAACTGGCAGCATAATTTTAAAAGGCCCCTGCCTGGAACCAGGACCTTACTAATTTCTGTGACCAAGGACTTGTTTTCTCATCCTATCTTTTGTTCTTTTCTGCCATTGCTTCCTCCGATGTCTGGTTTCAAAATTCAAGATTATCAGGCTGTGAATTACCACTTACTCTTGTCTTTGTCCACTGTCTTTTAGCCTTCAGGGCAGGCAGGGGTGGATCCCTGGGGAAATAACCTCCCTTGCATACTAGTTGAACAGACTTCATATAAGTTGAACAAGCAAAGACAACTTTCTTGGCCTGGGTTTTTCTGCAGTTCAAAATCCATTTTAAATTACTTGAATCTAGTCTTCATATAAGTGGAACAAGCAGAGATAACTTTCTTGGCTTGGTTTTTCTCCAGTTCAAAACCCATTTTAAATTACTAGAATCTGCATGTTTTTAAAATAGTGGAAGAGGGTGGGATAAAAAGAAGGAATTCTGAGGCTGCTTTTCAATGACGGTACGTTTAGCCACCTGATTTCCTGAAACTGTGAAGGAGCCACAACTGTACACAGATTTAGAAGTTAGATCATCAAACTTGCGGTCCTTTTTTTTTTTTTTTTTTTTTTTGATGTTTTTTGGAGCCACCTACTGGCAGCCAAAACTAACTGAAAAGGGCTGTTTTCTGAAGTTCAGAGACCCACAGTTGAGACTAGGAGCCTAAAAGAGCATGTGTAGGGAAAACAAGGAATTGGAATCAGATGGATTTTTGCCCTAATGCTGACTCCACCCCAACCAACTCTGTCACTTTTGAACAAGTTAGTTAATTCCTCAGCCTGCTCTGTCACTTTTGAACAAGTTAGTTAATTCCTCAGCCTGGGTTTCCTCACCAGTAAAATGGGACAAATAAGTACTTCAAGGCCCCATTACATACAATAAGCATTCTGTAAATTGTAGCTAATTATTAAGTAGACGTTTTATGGATAAACTCAAATGCAGCAATGCCGAATGACTTGTTGACAGTCTCACAACTGGCTTTGAATGAACTTGTAGTTAATATTTACTCAGGTCTGCTATTCTAAGTAGTATACACTTAATCCTTACACTGGCACTGTGAAGTAGGTATTATAACTGTCATTCCCATGTTAAGAATGAGAAAACAGACACCAAGATGTTAGTAAATATCCTGAATTCACATAGGTTGCATGTAGCAGAGCCAAGATTTCAAACGGAGCAGGCGAACTCCATGGCCTGTCTTTTTTTTTTCTTTTTTTTTCGAGACGGGTCTTACTCTGTTGACCAGGCTGGAGTGTAGTGGTGGGATCATAACTCACTGCAGCTTCAAACTCATGGGCTCAAGCGATCCTCCTACCTCAGCCTCCCGGGTAGCTGGGACTACATGTGCATACCACCACACCCAGCTAATTTATTTTTTGTAGAGATGGGGTCTTGCTTTGTTGCCCAGGCTGGTCTTGAACTCCTGGCTTAAAGTGATCCTGCTGCGTTGGCCTCCCAAAGCGCTGGGATTATAGACATGAGCCACTGCGCCCAGCCTCAGAGCCAGTCTTTAAGTACCACAACATACTGCCTCTTGGTGGGCTACCTATCTTAAAAGTGAGAAAATAAATTATGCTAACAAGATCTTCCAAACTAGCAGTTTCTTTTGTAAGTGGTCAAACTAGAATGCTTTTCCCCATGAGTATTAGACTCAGTCAGCCACCTTTCTCTGCCTACAAAGCATCTCTACTCATGTAGTAATATGCAAACCATTGATGATAAAATGTTAAGTAACAGTGAGATACAAAACAGTGCATTCACAAGATAAAAAGAAACCTTATCTATAGAAGAAGAAAACAGAAGAAAAGGCACCAATATGTTAAGTGATGGGAACAAAGCAATGGAATAATACTTATTTTTCTTATTTTCTAGACTTTTTATAATGTCTTGTTCAGTTTATAATTAAAAAGACATAATTTTTTAAAGGGAGGGATGGAGGTCTTTTGAGCCAAGCAGAACAGGGACAAAGCTGCCTTCTTGAAATGCTAGGCCCCAGACACTTTGTTTCTTTTCTGTATTTGGGGGTTCTTTTCTCTGCTGGGGAAACTGCTGGGCTGAGGCTGGTTAAAGCTGAAAGCTTGGCCGGGCGCGGTGGCTCAAGCCTGTAATCCCAGCACTTTGGGAGGCCGAGACGGGCGGATCACGAGGTCAGGAGATCGAGACTATCCTGGCTAACACGGTGAAACCCCGTCTCTATTAAGAAATACAAAAAACTAGCCGGGCGAGGTGGCGGGCGCCTGTAGTCCCAGTTACTCGGGAGGCTGAGGCAGGAGAATGGCGGGAACCCGGGAGGCGGAGCTTGCAGTGAGCTGAGATCCGGCCACTGCACTCCAGCCTGTCTCAAAAGAAAAAAAAAAAGCTGAAAGCTTGCAGGTGCCTTAAAGAACAACAGCGCTACTCCACCTAACCTGCTTTGCTTCACCTCTTTGCTGAATTCCAGAACTGTATTTGTAAGTTTGTCCTCTTAGGACACATACTTTCTCTGGAATTTTTATTTTCGTTCTATGATTGCCCTAGCGTTGTGAATATTAGTGATGATCTGGAGAGGAGAGGAGTCTAAAGCTCTACTTTTCCATTTACCTCCATGTAGAACCAGCCCAATTGACAGCCTCCATCCCTGGGCAGGAGCCAAGGTCAACAGTAGCAGTGACTGGGCAGGGATAGTCTCTGGGTCATCAGTAGGAAGGTAGACCTTTAAGACTTTTTCTAGAACTGCCCTGTTCAACAGAAATAAATAATGTGAGCCATATGTATGTTTGAATTTTCTAGTAGCCATATTAAAAAAGGAAAAAGAAACTGGTGAAGTTAATTTTATTAATGTATTTAATAATACTAAAATTATTTTTTCAACATGTAATCAATATAAAAACTGCATTTTTGGGGGGGTACTAAGTCTTTGAAATACACTCTAGTGTGTATTTTACACATAGAGCACATCTCAATTCAGATACAAAGTTTTCATTTGAACTACTTGCTCTATATTTAGACATAAAATTTATAGGTGAAAAAGTGGATTAATGCACGCTAACTGTTCCAAACATACTTGAAAGTTTTCAGAAAACTAAACTATCAGCTTTTAAGTTTAACTAGATTAAACTTAGTAAATGGATTAACTAGTAAAACGAAAAATGCAGTTTCTCGATGATACTAGTCACATTTCAAGTGTTCATTTACACAATGTGTCTGGTGGCTACCTCAATGGACAGTTTTAGCAATGCTGGGAGGGTCTCTCTAATAGCTCCTTGCCTTTTGTGACACCTGTGGGAAGCAGGGCCAGGGGAACTTGGCTTTGCTAGTTAAACCAGCCTCACTTTTTTGTGCTAGAAGTTTGTAGGGAAAGAGAGTGAAACGAGGTGATTCAGCACAGTCTCCCTATTTTCCCAATGGTGAGACTGAAGCTCAGAAGGGCCAGTTTAGCTCCAGTCACCTGTGGTAGAGCCACAGCCAGAACTGCTGCTGTGGATGACCAGGCCCCTTTCACCCTCCCCAGGAACTCCATTCTGTGTTCTTCCCATGGGTGTCAGTAGATGTGCCATGTAAACACCAGCAGTAGCTTGGGTGAGATGAAGGACGAGCTCCTCCTTCACTTGGCTGGGCTTCTCAACACTCTATTGCCCAAGGTTGGTTGTCCTTGCAGAGATATGGGACATTTGGAGGCAGCCTCTGACTTTGGGAAACCAAAAGAGCACTGACTTGTACTGCTCCCTAGAAAGTTCCTCCAGAGAAGCCTTTCCTGTAGCTGACTTGCTATTTGTGTATATTCCAGGCAGAAGCTGCCTTCCTGGGTTTGGAGCTGTGGCCAGAGGGGGCAATTTGCATGTGGGAACCCAGCAGCTGCCAGAACTGCAGTGGCCCCAGCAATGTTTTCGGCCTTATAGCTGCCAGTTATCTGACCTGGGCCCCAGTGCCTTACTCTCATGCAGCATCACAGGTAGGGGACAAGGCATTCGTTCATGATGAGCGAAGGTTCCCCTGTGTGGTTCTCCCCTCCCAGTGTCTTTAGCTGATTCAGGGCTAGAGTCCAGCACTATGCTGGAGAATTGGGCTTATTCTCTCAACTGGTTCAGCAGATACAGAATTGTACGTGGGGCCAATATCTGCCTCCACAATTTAAAATAAAATGGAGGAAGAATTTTGAAAATATATTTTTCCCTCCTAGCATGTATCCTCAAAAATCTTTATTTACATCAGACCTTATGATAACTCATTTTGGGATATAACTGTCACACCACAGCAGGTCAAACAAACAAACTATACAGCCCACTTTTCTTCTCATTTCTCTTACATAGAGCATAAAGCTAACTTTGAATTCTGCTATAGCTCCAGCCTTCATGATTTGGCCGTGTTGCTTTCCAGAAGGTTTCAGGAAGACTGGTTATGCAAGTGACACTTCCTGTTTACCCATTTTTAATCATTAATGGCTGAAGAAGATGAATTGTGACCACAAAGTGTTCTAATGTCATTTATTTGATATGTTTTACTTGTGTAGTAGTGTGCCAAACACTTGTAGCAGTCCAGTTTACACACAACAAACTGAACCAGGAATCTCAGCTACAGATCCCAACTACTTTTACAGCTAAAGATTACTTTTGAAAGTGAACTGTCAGGAGCCTGAAGTTGTAGATTCAAGGCTGATGCTTGTGATAAAAAGAGGTGGTGATTAGTGAGGTGCATTTCTTCAGCCCTGGCTGATCTCATCCATATATATAACTTTTTTTTTTTTGAGACAAGGTCTCGCTGTGTCACTCACATTGGAGTACAGTGGCACAATCATAGCTTACTGCAGCCTTGAACCTGGACTCGGGATCCTCCCACCTCAGCCTCCCAAGTAGCTAGGACTACAGGTGCACACCACTGCACCTGGCTAATTTTTAAAATTTTTTTGTAGAAACAGGTTCTTATTTTGTTGCCCAGGCTGGTCTCCAACTCCTAGGCACAAGCATTCCTCTGGCCTCGGCCTCCCGAAATGCTAGGATTGCAGACATGAGCCTCCACACATAGCCTCATCCATTCCTATGCTTTTTATCACCGTCTTTGTGTCAACAGCTCCCAAATCTGTGCCCCTAGCTGAGACAACACTCCTGAACTCCAAAGCTCTATATCCCGCTGCCTGCTGGACATCTCCAGCTGCATTATTTTGCATATTCCTCCAATTTACCGTTTTCGAAATGCCTTATCTGTGCTTTCTGCAGTATTCATTCCTATTTCCCTAAATGGTTCCACCATCCCCTCAGTAGGCCAAGCCAGAAACCTGAGTCTTTGACTTTTCCTTTCCCCTTTTCCTGGCTTACAAGGCTCTGCAGGACCTGGTTCCTGCTCAGCTCCCCTAGCCTGCTCTTGTGACCCTCCCTCTGCACCTTGGGTGGTACTGAAGGTGCCACATCCTCACTCATGCGCAGGCTTCCGTAGTGTTCCTTTGCCCCCTTCCTCCATTAGTGACCTCAGCCAGTCGAGAAAAGTCATTTATTGCAGGAGTCCACCCAGGTGGCCTGGAGAACACCAAATACTTCTTCCATGGCATTCATCACACTGGATTGTTAAACTGGTGGGAGGGCCCTTTTCACAGCTGTCTCCCCTGTGCCCAGCACTGTACCTGATGCATAACAGGTACTCAGTAAATACTAGACTAATAGTTGACCTGGACTGAGGACTTTATTCTAAGTATTTTGCTAAGTCCGTTGTCTTTAACAAGAGTAGGATCAGGGAGACTGTCTAGTAGGCGGTTTTGACAAAGTCTCAGACAACAGTTTGGCTTAAACTAGGAGGAGAGTGGCGGAGGGAAGCAGGCAGATTCGAGCTGCCTGTGCTGCTGGGGTTGACGGGACTTGCTGATGGTTGGGATGGGGGTGGGTAGGAGGGAGCAAAAGGCGTGCAGGTGCGGTGGCTCACGCCTGTAATACCAGCACTTTGGGAGGCTGAGGCAGGCGGATCACGAGGTCAGGAGATCGAGACCGTCCTGGCCAACACAGTGAAACCCCGTCTCTACTAAAAATTGCACACAAAAAAATTAGCCGGGCGTGGTGGAGGGTGCCTGTAGTCCCAGCTACTCAGGAGGCTGAGGCAGGAGAATGATGTGAATCTGGGAGGCGGAGCTTGCGGTGAGCCGAGATCGCCCCACTGCACTCCAGCCTGGGCGACAGAGCAAGACTACGTCTCAAAAAAAAAAAAAAAGGCATGAAGGCTGACTTGCTAGAGTGTTTGGCCTGAATAATTGCCAGCTGCTGCTGCTTCCTGAGAAAGGGATGAAGGGCAGTGTATATGAATAAGTTTGTGGGGAAAAAATTAAAAGCTATCTTTTAATTTTTGTATCTTTTAATTTTGGTATGTGTCTGGTTTGATATGCCCATCAGGTTGCCAGGTAGAAATGGATAAATAAATCTAGAACTCTGGAATAGGATTAAGCAAGCCTGGAGTTTCTCATTTAGAACTCACCAGAACTCCCTAAGGTAGGAGCTGTTGCCAACTGAAGTCACATAACTTCCTAACTCAAATAGCAAGTAAGCAGTCAGCCAGGGTTTGAATGCAGGTGGCTGACCTCAGCACCCACCTGCTGAGCTGCCACATAGGAAAAGTGTTTCCAGTTCTAGGTTTGGCCAAGCTTAGTTCTCTGCAGTGTAAATTCTTTCATGCCAGCTGTAGGAATTTAGAAGGTCAAAATGTGCTTGCTGGGCTTACAGATTTTAAGTGTAATCAGGTATGCTTACAGTTATAGACAAGAAGTACAGAGTAGAAGAGAAAATGAGCCAGAGGAGGGTGAGGGCCTGGCATAATGGTGATCACCAGGCACTGTTGCTGGGACTTCTGGGCAGTTGAATAACATATACCAAGACTGTTAATATCTACAATTTGCTCATCTGCTTGCAGAAAAGTTTGAAGGATATTATTCAAATTCATCCCTTATTATAAAAGCATAGATATGAAAAAGAACCAACTCTTTCCCTTTTATTTCACATTTTAAGATATTTATAGGTTGAATTTGAGTATTTACAAAACATTACGTTGCATTTCTTGTGTTTGACTCCTGCAGAAAGGGAATAGCTGTAGAATGTAGGCCAAGGTATATGCTTTTTTCTAAGGGTATGTGTGTATGTGTATGTACTTATATACATATGTGTATGCTGATTTGAAATAACTTTCTTTTTATGTTTTATTTTAGGGATAATGACCCTTCTTGCTTTTCACCTAAGTTGATAAGCACCCTGTGCACTTTAATCTCCTGTCAGTACCATCGGGCCAACTGAAGACAAGGTTTTGAAATCTCAGCTGTAAAAGACATCCAGCCAAACTCTCAGTCTTGCCTTAACAATGTTCCAGAGGCTGAATAAAATGTTTGTGGGTGAAGTCAGTTCTTCCTCCAACCAAGAACCAGAATTCAGTGAGAAAGAAGATGATGAATGGATTCTTGTTGACTTCATAGGTAAGGTACACTTGGTTACTTGGTGGTTCATCTTCACAGTGAAAATGGAAACTTGCATCTCAGTTTTTGCATAAGAAAACCAGTAACTGAGGGTTTTTAAGCCTTAAAAGTAAGCAGGAGTTTGTCTTTAAAAAATTACAGGAAACCACCTGTGCTAGATAATGTCAGTGAAATTGACTGACATCAGTTTTTAGTTTTGCAACTCTTACAGATTGATTAGATCAAGGGCAGTTCAATAGAAGACCCTTGTATTAGACAGGTAGTAACCCATCTGGCTCATTACACAGTTACTCAGCAGAATAGAAACAGTCTTAAAATCACTCCTGCAAAACCAACATAATCCATCCCATATAGTGACACACACACACACACACACAAAATTTCTGTGCTCAGAAATAATTTTATAATCATATAGATGAATATAAATGGGTTTGTTTCTGAACTAAATAAAAGAAGATATGTGAGCATCAGCTAATAGTATCATTTCTTCTTTTTTCTGTGCTGTGAATTTGATGGGTGACTTTATAATGACTGCCCAATGTGATAATCATCCTCCTGTGGGACTCTTCTACAACACACATGGACGGTAATATGGACTACAATCTAGATACTTGCACTGGCTTCTCAGCAGGAGAAGAAGAAGAAGAGGAGGAGGACATCAGTGAAGAGTCACCTACTGAGCACCCTTCAGTCTTTTCCTGTTTACCGGCATCTCTTGAGTGCTTGGCTGATACAAGTGATTCCTGCTTCCTCCAGTTTGAGTCATGTCCAATGGAGGAGAGCTGGTTTATCACCCCACCCCCGTGTTTTACTGCAGGTGGATTAACCACTATCAAGGTGGAAACGAGTCCTATGGAAAACCTTCTCATTGAACATCCCAGCATGTCTGTCTATGCTGTGCATAACTCCTGCCCTGGTCTCAGTGAGGCCACCTGTGGGACTGATGAATTACATAATCCAAGTAGTCCCAGGTACGTTACAAGTATTTTAACTCTCTGTAGGCAGTCCACTGAGCATGCATTTTGTCTCTAATTCAAACCTAAGTTATTAGAAGATGCAAAAGTAATTTTATTAGAGATTTATGAAAGCATGTGTGTGCACAGTACACAAGATGATCCGTAAGATAACTTGTTGACTGGTCATGGTGTCTCACACCTGTAATCCCAGCACTTTGGGAGGCCTAGGCAGGCAGATCACTTGAGCTCAGGAGTTCAGGACCACCGTAGGCAACATGGTGAAACCCCGTCTGCACAAAAAATAACAAAAAATTAGCCAGGTGTGGTGGTGCACACCTGTAGTCCTAGCTACTCAGGAGGCTGAGGTGGGAGGATGGCTTGAACCAGGAGGCAGAGGTTGCACTGAGCCAAGATTGTGCCACTGCACATCAGCCTGGGTGACAGAGCAAGACTCTCTCAAAAACAAAAACAAAAACTTGTTCATTTTCGATTTTTTAAGAAAGTTAGATGTAGCATGGCCCCAGTTATATAATAGCATTCTCATTTACAAAATTCTGCTACTGATTAGAAATAAGACTGGCATTTCTGCTAAGTATCTTAGAACATAACTCTGACTTTATAGACTGGATTATTTAGGGTATCAAATTCAACTAGAATATTGTGTCTTAAAATTTATTTTCTTCCAAGTATTTCTAGCTACATTGCATCAAATGATGTAACCTTGAAAACCTTGTCTGAGAATTTAATGAACTCAGTTTCTTACTGCAGTACTCACACTGCACAGTCACCCAGTGCTTCTCACACCAGATGTGTGGGTTTTTTCCACACACCGCAGTCCTCCAGCAGTGGACACTCTCTAGTGTCCCATAGGTTGAAGGCTTAGTCCCAAAAGATTGCCTCCCATTTCCGATGCCAATCTCAAGCCCCCGGTTTTATTTATGCTTCTGACCAACCAGCTGTAAACTGGTGTTCCCATGACCCCTTCCTTGGGTTTGATTAATTTGCTAGAACATCTTATAGAACTTGGGAGAACATGTTTTCCGGTTTATTATAAAGGATACAGATGAAGGGATGCATAAAGCAAGGCGTGTGGGGAGGGCATGGAGCTTCCATGTCCTCGGTGCACCGCACCCTCCAGGAAACTCCACATGTTAGCTCTCCAGAGGCTCCCTGAATCCAGTACTTTTGGGGTCTTATGGAGGCATCAGTACATCGGCATAATTGATTAAATCATTGGCCATTGGTGATTGGCCTAACCTTCAGACCCTCTCCCCTCTCTGGAGTTTGAGGGGTGGGGCTAAAAGTCCCAACTCTAACTTGGTCTTTCTAGTGACCAAATCCCATCCTGAAGCTGTCTAGTTGCTGCCAACCACCAGTCAACTAATTAGCATGCACTTTCCATGTTGGAGGTTCCAAGGATTTTAGGAGTGGTATGCCAGGAGACTGACAAGACTGAATATATATTTTACAGTATATATATTTTACAGTCCAGCCTCAGTCTTCAAACTTGGATTCCTTACAACAAAAGGATATGGAACTCAAAAACTACTGGCACAACACCGGAATCCCATTCAGTCTATAATTCATTACATCCGTCATTGTATTGTATGAGCATGTCTCCCAGGGCGAGGCCACTCAGGTTTGCAGGTTTATTGATCTTGTTGGTTTCCAAAAGCAGAAATGGTTTTGGCAAACATGTAGCTTCACCCTTTCAGGCATCTGGTATACCTGAGCTTAAAGACAATGTCATCTTTTTCTCTGAGCCTGTTTCAAGGTATTAATATGATGAATTGATCCCAATCATAACCTATTTATTCATTCTTTTATCCTCTTTTTCTTCATTTATACCCAAACTTTTCCATCTCTGGAAGGGATGTTAGGTTTAGCCACTGTGCTGGTCTAGATTGCAGGTAGCAATACTAGTTTAGCAAGTACCTCTCCCTCAGTCCACTCCCATTCAGATAGAGTAAGGTGACATAGGTACAAAATTAGTGGGCTGTTTTTACCACCAGACAATATAGCTGCGTTCATTGTTGACTCCAGTTTTGCAAGATGGGGTGTAGGTAACCCCATAAGGGCCTTAGGACTTTTGACATGAGGTTTAAAAACATAATTACAGCTTCTTGCTCAGGAACCATCCCTGCTTCCAGTACTTGTAGTTACAGCACTGGTCCTAGGACCATTGCATCTGGTAGAGGGAAAAAAAATGAGGTGATGTGGGAAAGAAAGAAAAAGTTAAAACCATTATACTAGCACACTCAACCCTTGGCTAGAATTGCATAAGTCATACCAGCATCCTCCCTATCCCTTCTTCTTCCTCATATCACCAGAAAAACAGGAAAATCTTTTGGGGACAACCAGCCCTTCATTCTTTTATCCCCCCATTTTGTTTTTGGGTTTTTTTTGTTTTTTGTTTTGTTTTGTTTTGTTTTGTTTTTTTGAGATGGAGTCTCACTCTGTCGCCCAGGCTGGAGGGCAGTGGCAGGATCTCGGCTCATCGCAACCTCCGCCTCCCAGGTTCAAGTGATTCTCCTTTCTCAGCCTCCCAAGTAGCTGGGATTACAGGCACTCGCCCCCATACTTGGGTAATATTTGTACTTTTAGTAGCAAGGGGGTGTCACCATATTGGCCAGGCTGCTCTCGAACTCCTGACCTTTGGTGATCCACCGCCTCTGCCTCCCAGAGTGCTTTTGGGCATTATGGGCTATATAGTGTGTCCTTTGGTTTGAAGAAATGACAGTCAACTATCTACATCCATGCAGTATCTTCTGTTCTGGGTTTTTTATGGCACTCTGAGCATTTGCATCTTCCACTGGGTAAGTAAAGCCCACTCCAGAGACTGTCTCTTCTTCTCAAGACCCATTTGTAGCTCCCCAGGGATGCCAGCACCAGTCTCACTTGTTGCTATGCTCAGGGCCTTCCCACTGGGGAATCTGCCCCTCATCAGTAGTCTGTCTCTTTTGCTGACTGGCAAAACGGTTCTCATTGGTATTTGTGCCTGAGAGGGTAGAAGAGGAATGTCTAGATGCAGCCCGTCTCTGCATTGCCTGTACCACTCATTTAATGAACCCAGGAGGGCACCTCCAGGGAGCACATGGGGATATATCTGCTTCCAGTCCCAGTCACCTTCCAAACCTGGAAGGGAGTTCTTCTGATGGCCATTGGCACATCCTAATATATCCCTCAGATTTCCATAGGGTTGTGCTCCCTATGGAAGCCATCCCTTTAAAAGTCCAGGTTTTCATTGTGATTCTGCCTGACCATGTCCATTGGCCACTGCTCATGAGTCAGTAAAAACCCAAACCTAGGGGCTTCCGTCATCGCTAGGAAACCAGCGTGCAGTTCAACCCACAGAGCCGATTTGTTTTTACCTCCTTTGAGTAAGTAGCATCCTTCCAAACAGGATGCTGTCTGTTCACCTTGGAACTGCCATGCACAACCAAGCAGCTCTTTGTCAGTCAGTTGAGAGCTACTAGCACTGTGGAATCCAGTTCCTCACACAGTTCCAGAGTCAGTCCAAGGTGGAGAGAGGCTCCCTGCTTGTGGGTGTGTCCTCCTTACATTCCCTACGTAACATGATCCTGTATAAACCATTTCCATTTTTTATGGAACTCTTCTGGGCACTGCCCTCCCAATTAGTGTTTCTCTGATATCACCAAAGACAGCATAGGTATTTCAGGTTTCAAGATCATTTTATGTCCTTCAGTCATAGGGGTAGCGTCAATTAATGTCCTTTAGCGAGGGATTAAATGCCTCTCATGTGGAAATTCTCTAGTGCAAAGTGCCAGTAGTTGTTACTGAGAGGTGCTCACAGTCTTTTGCCATAAGCGCCAGTTTCCCTTCCACATAAGACTATCAGACAGATAATTTGTCCCTACCACCAATCCAGCTTCTACTATACACTATGTAGACCTGGGCAGTGCTGTTCGTCCCCATTTAGCATGTCCAGTTAATATTGTCATGAAGGGCAGATTTACATGCGTTTTGTTTTACAGTACTAGGTAGGGGAAGTGTGTCTCCAGCCAGACATATCCATTCTCATAAAACATTTTAGGTAAAGGGGATATAACTTCTTTACGTAAAGCTCACTTAAACATCCTAACTTTCATAATCCTATCAACACTTGCATTTTTATGTTCTCCAATCTAATTGTAGCCTGAATCAGGGCTTTACCAATGGATCTTGATACCACAGCACATGGAGCTCCCATACCAAGAAGTCCCAGGAATTTATCTTCACCACCCCCAACCATTTTGCCCACTTGTATAGGAGAGGCCTTTGGTTCCCAGCAGAGACAGAAATAGATCGTTGCCCATTTGTCAGTCATTATCTTGATTAATCAATCTGTCTATTGCCCCAAGCAATTGTTGGTTACTTTTCTTGTAATCTCTGCCTTCTGGCTTTTTAAGTTTCCCCAAATTTAGAGACATTATGTGACCTTTGTCCAGAGAATATATCCAGGAAATGTCTGAGATTGTTCCCACCCACTAAAGTAAACCCCATTACCCTGTTAATTAGCTGAAAGTCCCACTGTCCTATTGTGTACCTTAGTGGAATGTTTCCTGTTAAAGTATTTTGGGAATGTTGGCATTCCCTGTCTTAGGTTGAGGGTCCAGGTGGATTTGGATCCTTGGAGCAGTTCAGAATATCCCTATTGTTAGTGTTGTCATGTCCAGGCTCTGACTCTACTAAGAAAAGTATTGTATCTATTATATCTGTCTGTCTGTCTAGCTCTCTCCCTATCTACTGTTTCCTGTTTTCCAGATATAAACAAACCCTAGGCAGCACATTAATTGTTAACTTTACCAGAGTTTGCTATACTCTCAAGTCTTAATATTATAGATGATTTTACATATTTTATTTCATTTTGCTTGTACCAAAATGAAAACAACTTTCTTGTATGTTATATGATGCCAGGCTATATCCTAGGTAAGGTCTTGGGTGGGGAATGTTACTTTAACTGGCACTGTATTCAGTGCTACAAGTTTATTAAGAGGCATTTCAGGCATTCCAACAAAAATTTAAAATACAACTTTTTGGAGTTGCTATTGATTTAATTGCTTTAGAGTTGCTTCAGATTCCTTTCTTGAAAATTCTTTCCTCCTGATTCTGATTTTACCTCTGAGGAATGCCACTCAAGAATTTATAATTAGGCCAGGCACAGTGGCTTACACCTGTAATCCCAGCAGTTTGGGAGGCTGGGGTGGGCGGATCACAAGGTCAGGAGTTCAAGACCCAGCCTGTCCAACATGGCGAAACCCCATCTTAAAAATACAAAAATTAGCCAGGCGTGCTGGTGGGCACCTGTACTCCCAGCTACTAGGGAGGCTGAGGCAGGAGAATTGCTTGAACCCGGGAGGCGGAGGTTGCAGTGAGCTGAGATCACACCACACTGCGCTCCAGCCTGGTGACAATAACAAGGCGGGTTCCTTCTAAAAATAAAAAAACATTGATACTCAGATTAGTCACTTTAAACTTATCTGCTTTGATGTTTACTTTTCAGTGTTTTGGTATTGTATCAGCGCTTTGCACAAGAATTTGCTACCAGAACAGTACAGGTGAATGGTAAACACTTAGGAAAAGTACAAATAGTGAAAAATTGAAATGAACATTTTTCATGGACGCCAGAGATGAACTATTTAACAACCTAGAGTATATCCTTCCAGATTGTGGTGGTTTTTTTTCTGTGCCTGTATGTACACATAAACTTTTAACCTAAATGGCAACGTGAGTATATATATATAATATATATATATATTTTTTTTTTTTTTTTCTTTTTGAGACAGAGTTTCACCCTTGTTGCCCAGGCTGGAGCACAGTGGTGGTGATCTCGGCTCACTGCAACCTCCGCCTCCGGGCTTCAAGCAATTCTCCTGCTCCCAGCCTCCTGAGTACGCTGGGATTCAGAGGAACATACCACCATGCCTGGCTAATTTTTGGTATTTTTATAAAGATGTGGTTTCACCATGTTGGCCAGGCTAGTCTTGAACTCCTGACCTCATGATCCGCCCGCCTTGGCCTCCCAAAGTGCTGGGATTACAGGCGTGAGGCACCATGCCCAGCAGTATAGTTTTTTTGTTTTGTTTTGTTTTTGAGACAGGGTCTTGCTCTGTTACCCAGGTTGGAAAGCAGTGGCGTGATGTCAGCTCACTGCAATCTCTGCCTCCCAGATTCAAGCAATTCTCATGCCTCACCCTCCCAAGTAGCTGGGACTACAGGTGTGCACCACCACACCTGGCTAATGTTGTGTTTTTAGTAGAGACAAGGTTTTACCATGTTGACTAGGCTGGTCTCAAACTCCTGACCTCAGGTGAGCCACCTGTCTTGGCCTCCCAAAGTGCTGGGATTACAGGTATGAGCCACTGTTCCCGGCCCATATATACTATTTTATAAACTACTTATTTAGGCAATGATCTCCACCATTTTGTTTCAGTAGATTTCTTCTTCTTCCTTCCTTCCTTCTTCTTCCTTCCTTTTCAAGGTTGTTATGGGTTTCTAGTTTTGGTACAGTGAGAATGTTGTTTTTGTATCTTGTTTGTGTTTGCATTCATATATGACAGTTATAACATATAGGGATAAATACGTACTTTTCCATATATAAAGGATCAAAAGAAGGCACTGAATTTTATTTATTTATTTTAACATGGAGTCTCACTCTGTCACCCAGGCTGGATTGCAGTGGCGCGATCTCAGCTCACTGCAACCTCCACACTGGGTTCAGGTGATCCTCCTGCCTCAGCCTGCCGAGTAACTGGGATTACAGGCACGTGCCACCATCTCCAGCTAATTTTTTGTATTTTTAGTAGAGATGGGGTTTCACCATGTTGGCCAGGCTGGTCTTCAACTCCTGACCTCAAGTGATCCGCCCACCTTGACCTTCCAAAGTTCTGGGATTACAGGCATGAGCCATTATGCCTGGCCAGAATGCACTGAATTTTATGTGAATCCTTTCTGCACACAGGAAATTCCTGTAAATTATTACAGTTTTAAAATAGTAACTATGATTTTGTTTTACATCCTTATTTTGGGATTTGAAATTCTTATAAGGAAGTCTTGCTAAATCAATGGAAATCAGGTGTTACCAAAATTAGGCTAGCTTTGTAGTAAATGTTTTCTTAGCAGGAAATAAATCATATGTCTTTCAGACGTCAAATTGCTTCAATTGTGTCTGTCATTGGGGATATTAGCATAAAGCACAGAAAATTGAGGTGCTTTGTAATTATAGTGGGATTCGGGGTATACGTTTCATTGTATTTTAGCCTTTATAAATACTGCTTTTGAAGGTTTTACATGTTATCTTAAGTACATGTATGTGCCTTTAATGGCACATAGTAAACCAGTTTTAATAAAAGTTGACCACGTCCTAATAGTAAAGTTACAATAGCATTTTAAATCTTACTAGTGATTTAATAGTTCACCATTTAACATTTGTAGGGCCAGGAAAAGCTGCTTATAAGACTCACGGGCACAGAGTAAGTATATTCACTTTGAGACTGTGTGATATATGTATGCATAGGGAGGCAAAGGACCCAAATGCTGACCTTTTAAAAATGACTTTTTTTTTTTTTTTTGAGAGGGAGTCTCACTCTGTCACTCAGGCTGGAGTGCAATGGTGCGATCTTGGCTCATGGCAGCCTCCGTCCCCCAGATTCAAGTGATTCTCTTGTCTCAGTCTCCCAAGTAGCTGGGATTACAGGCTTGCATCACCACACCTGGCCAATTTTTGTATTTTTAGTAGAGATGGTGTTTCACCACGTTGGCCAGGCTGGTCTTGAACTCTACTAAGGTGATCCACTTGCCTTGGCCTCCCAAAGTGTTGAGATTACAAGAGTGAGCCACAGCGCCCAGCCTAAAAATAACTTTCTTTATATTAACTTTTTTTCTATTAGTTTCTTAATGTGGCCTCTTAAAATTCTACTTTAAAAAAAGTTTGTATATACATATATATATGTAATAAAAGATAATAGTGTTTTCCTCAAGTGATTTTAGGCAGAATGTGTCACTGCCCTTCCTTTGTAAAATAACCCTTAAAAATCATAAAGCTCTTCATGTTACGTGTTGACATAGTTTATAGCAATCCCACTTGATTAGTTTTTTTATATGGAAAACATAATCATACTATGTGTAGCCATATTTTAAGATTGTGTTATTCAAGAGTCTTATAATATTGCCATGTAAATACCATCTCAAAAGTGCCCTGTTGTGAGATAAATAAAGAGATTTATTCTATAATAAGCTATAGCTTCTTATCTAGAAAAATGGTAAATGGGTAGACTTTCCATATTAAATAAAGATTTAAAGCATGTTTCCTGGAACATTTTACTTATAGACAGGAAATGTCTTGTGAAGGTATTGTGAGCACACTGCTTTATGATCAGTAAAATTTGGGAATTAAAATATTTTCCTTGTAAGATTATGGTAAGAATTAAAATACATATTTGCAAAAGAATTGGCAAATGCAGATATTCAATAAATGTTAGCTCCCCTCCCAGACAAGCTTATATAAATGTGTGTGCTCTGTAAATGAAATTCAAAGTATAAAGTGTATTTTTAGAAAACAGTCTACTTAGTGAGCCATCTGGGGCTTACATGGCATCTTTCTAGTAAGTAACAATTGGCTCTCCTCTCCACCACTATCAGTCAGTGGGGTCACAGAATAATAAACTTGTCTGTCAGCCATGAAACACAAACTCTCATTCAGCCATAAACAAATTAGCACGGCAAACTGAATTGCTAAGTAACTTTTCCAGTTTCGTTAATAACCTACTCTGTTATTTAATACATCCCCACTTTTTTCTGTTTCAGAGTGGAAGCTCAAAATGAAATGGGGCAGCACATTCATTGTTATGTTGCAGCTCTTGCTGCTCATACAACTTTTCTGGAACAACCCAAGAGCTTTCGTCCTTCCCAGTGGATAAAAGAACATAGTGAAAGACAGTCTCTTAACAGAAATAGCCTTCGTCGCCAAAATCTTACCAGGGATTGCCACTCTCGGCAAGTCAAGCACAATGGCTGGGTTGTTCATCAGCCCTGCCCGCGTCAGTACAATTACTAAGAATTTTAAGTTTTATTGGTTGGTTTCTCTTGGTTTGTGCATATGTGTATGGATGTGTGTATATGTACAATGAAAGTGTTGTCTCTTTACAACCAATTGATAACCAATCAGTTTTATCAGTGTATTTAGACACTATCTTGAAAACCAGATTTATATGCTGTGTATCACATAATGCCTTGCCTTTAACATTTACTTTTTTGTACACTTTTTCAGATTATTTCTGGAAACATATCAATATAATTACAGTGTTTGGTGTTTGGGGGTGTCTTTAAATCTATTAGGATGTACATTAGTCAGCATTTTAAAGACATTTCTTCCCAAGTACGAGAATAGGCATCTTTCATTTTCATTTTATTTTGTATTAATCTTTTGAGCAAGCAAAAATTTATTCTCAGGGTCAGCTATACACTTTATTGACCAGTACTTGATAATCTCTCTGTATATGATGAATACATTTTTACACACTAATATGAGCATTAACAGGTGATAGTTGCCATGGATATAATGGAATTATGGCTGGACTTTCTTTTGAAAGAAAACGATGTATTCTGTGCGTATGGTTTTTCCCCAGATTAGTCATGCAGTTCATCTGGAATTCAGGTACATTAAGCTTTAGTGAAGAGTGCATTCAGTGATTCCAATGTGACTGCATGACATGGTACAGACATTACAGGTGTTGTAGACAGAGGCACTTGTCCCGTGCAGAGGGATTAAATTAGACCTGTGAAATTTTATTTGGAAAAATTCATGTCTGTAACTAACCCATTAGTGCAGTATTTAATTTGTTACGATTCCTTCCTGCCAATTCTGCCCACTCCTCACCTTGCTCTCAACTATAAATTCGGAAATACTTGTCCAGGCACTTGAGTGACTTCGTATTTCTCTCTGCCCATGGGAAAAGAGGTAGGCTTTATATTTCCACACAGAGTGAAAAATCCTCTGTCATGGAGCCTGTCCTGCCAAGTGGCAAGCAAGGGTGTGGGGGAATGTCTGCTGATGTCTTTCATGGTATCTGAGTGAAGAGTGACAGGTTGGCTCAACTTTTTTCTTTTTCTTTTTAAATTGCCTTGTAAGTATTCTTCTCTGCAGTCCGAATGACCTTTTTTTTTTTTTTTTTTTTTTAACTTCAGGCAAAATCTTTAACCACTCTGGCCTCTGTTTCCCCCACCAACAGGGGAGCAGTGACATTTACCTCCCTCACAGAGTCACTGTGAGGATTCTATACTGATTTGAAGTGGGGCTGTTCAGAACTGAACCTTGTAGGAAATTCCAAGGGCCTTTCTACTGAATCTGGTGATGGGGTGGGGCCGTGGCACTTTCTCTGCCACAGCTGTTCTTCACAGTGTTGGTGCTAATGAGGCCAGGGTGCAGGGTTCGATTCACACGTTGGCCAGTTAACTTAGAGAAAATCTATTTCCTTACCTCTAACCAGTCACTTCCTTTTTCCGCAGTTGTGATGGGTTTTGCTGAGCCATCCACTCTGACTGATTTCCTCTGAAGTAAACACATTCACAGTCCAAAGCAATTCTACTGACAGAAGTGTTGCCTACATAATCAAACAGCTTGTTTTTCCATCTCCTCTGCAACCCTAATTAAATGAGTACAGGTCTGTAAAATGTTTTCAAGGAGAAAAGCAGCATATACTTATGTGAAGTATTATATTTTTCAATAACCCTGTAGTGGCTTGATGCAGGGAACCCTGGGAGACTTTCAGGGAAGAGCTGTGCTCTTCTCTGACTAGACTAGAGCGTTTGGAGTGGAAGAGGTCAAATGTGTAGTTAGATGGAGGTTTTACATTGTTCTTCTACTGGCTGTGATGAAGTGCCAGAATGTCTCCTTAGAACAAGAGTCTAGATCCCCCCTTTCTCCTTATTGCCCTTTCTGTTTTGACTTCCCCTTTATTTATTTGTGGTCTAATTAGGGGCCAAGTCTGTAAAGTTTTGTCAAAGTGAGTTAGAAGTTGTTTTCTTACCATTTGTGTTTACCAGAGTTGGGAGATAAGGTAGAGTTTCCATGAAGGTGTGTATGTTTTATATGATGTTTGTTATAGGGCCATGCATTGGTAACCTGAAAATAGACCAGCTTAATGTCTTCAGGCTGTAAACCTCTGAATACATGGCGTCTCTTTTTCATACGTTGCATGTAAGTTGTTAGTACCTCACAAGCTACAGAAGTTCAGCCATTAGATTTTGTTTGGCAGCATGAACAGATTTGTGTATTAACTGCAATGGCCTTTTTTCCAGATTTCCTTATTGACTTTTTTTTGCCTTATCTGGGGCTAGTTTTTTACGCTTTGTACCTAGAAAACAAAAAATTACATTCACTGGGCTTTTTTTCAAGGTTGGGATTACCACACCACCCAGAATATCATACTGTGGTTTCTGCCTAAAATTGGCACATGTAAGTGTTGAAGAAAATGGTTATATAATTCAGTTGAAACTCTTGGTCATTAGATGTTAGACATCTCCTGTGTGTAAGACACAAGGCCAACCACAACACAAAACGATGTTGACCTGTTAAGTATTCTCTGAAACACGGCCAAAATGCATTTTATTATGAGCTTTTTTTTTTTTTTTTGCTATTATAAATATTAGTGGTTTACAATGTGCTTTAGTCATATTTCTTTAAAATGCAAGCAGTGAGAAATAAGACCCCTCTGAAATAGTAGCTCTAAACTGTTAACATAGAATGTTACTTGGAAAAAGTCTGGAATACGTGGTGTACACAAGCAGTGCTTCGTGAATGAGTTTCTTAGCTTTTACAGTGCACCATGTTTCTCAAAGTTTGTTTTTGTTGATAAAACATTTTATAATATATATCTTGTGTTTATTTTTCTTCCTCAACTAATTGTGTACTGCACTGTAAGTGGAAAATTAGCCATCCATTATTTATCTTCTGTGGCAATGCATTTATATGGTTGATTGGGTGGGGGATTTTTTGCAGAAAGATGCACAGTGATTGGATTTTTGACTTCCTATCGCAGGGACCTTTTAAGAAATATTAATTTCCTGTACATTTTTCCTATCCCCATGCAAACTGTTCCTGTTTACATACCTTCTCTGTTGTATCAGTACTTTGAGTGAGAAGACAGTTTATTTAAAACTTGAGCAGGCTGTTCAGCATTGTTTCTGCTTCTCAAATCTGTATAGTACACTGGTTTGTAATCATTATGTCTTCATTGAAATCCTTGCTACTTCTCTTTCTCCTCGATGAAATACATTATATATTATCTTTATGTACTCTTAAGAAAAACGAGCAAGGAAGAGTATCTTCATTACTCTCATTTGCTTTGAGTTGGAAACAAAAATATAAAGGACTCCAACTAGAAGATACTTACATTTAAATAGATTAGTGGGAAAAGTTTAAGAGTTTCCACGTATTAATTTTTGTTCTTTGAGTCAATTAAGAGACTGCTCCTTGTACTGGGAGACACTAGTATATGTTTGTAATGTTACTTTAAAATTATCTTTTTATTTTATAAGGCCCATAAATACTGGTTAAACTTGTTAAAAGTTGGGCTTCTATCTTGGATGGTTTCACTGCCATCAGCCATGCTGATATTTTAGAAATGGCATCTCTATCTACTTATTTTAATGCTTAAAATTATACATAAAATGCTTTATTTGGAAAACCTACATGATACAGTGGTGTCAGCCTTGCCATATATCAATTTCACTTGAAATTTGACACCAATTAAAGTGGTTTAAGGTGGAGAAAGAGGTACTGGAAAGCATGCAGATGAGGATATCTTTTATGTCCAACAGTATCCTTTGCATGGGAGGAGAGTTACTCTTGAAAGGCAGGCAGCTTAAGTGGACAATATTTTGTATATCATTGAGAATTTTCTTTATGACACTTTTAAAAATTGTGTAATTGTTAAATGTCCAGTTTTGCTCTGTTTTGCCTGAAGTTTTAATATTTGTTTTCTAGGTGAACCTCTGAAAACCAAACCAGTACCTGGGGAGGTTAGATGTGTGTTTCAGGCTTGGAGTGTATGAGTGGTTTTGCTTGTGTTTTGGTTGTGTTTTCCTCCAGAGATTTTGAACTTTTAATAATTGCATGTGTTATTTTTTTTTAAGTGGCTTTTTTTCAAGTAAAATTGTGAACATATTTTCTTTATAGGGGCAGGACATGAGTTATGGAGACTGAAGAGTATTGTAGACTGTACATGTGCCTTCTTAATGTGTTTCTGGACACACTTTTTTTTTCGTCAACTTGAAAATTCAAAAGGGACATTTGGTTAGGTTACTGTACATCAATCTATGCATAAATGGCAGCTTGTTTTCTTGAGCCACTGTCTAAATTTTTTGTTTTTATAGAAATTTTTTATACTGATTGGTTCATAGATGGTCAGTTTTGTACACAGACTGAACAATACAGCACTTTGCCAAAAATGAGTGTAGCATTGTTTAAACATTGTGTGTTAACACCTGTCCTTTGTAATTGGGTTGTGGTGCATTTTGCACTACCTGGAGTTACAGTTTTCAATCTGTCAGTAAATAAAATGTCCTTTAACTTCACACTTGCCAGATTCTTTTATTTTATCTTCAGAGTCATTAATATTAAAAGGAGGTACAACTTACTGTTTAGTTTTGTTTGTCCAAGAGATGTTTAATATGCATTTTAAATATGTATTTAAAAGCTTGTATAAAATTCATATATTAAGGCTGGGCACGGTGGCTCATGCCTGTAATCCCAGCAATTTGGAAGGCCAAGGCAGGCAGATCACTTGAGGCCAGAAGTTTGAGACCAGCCAGGCCAACATGGCAAAGCCCTATCTCTACTAAAAATATGAAAATTAGCTGAGCAGGGTGGTGTGCATTTGTAGTCTCAGCTACTTGGGAGGCTGAGGCAGGAGAATCCCTTGAACCTGGGAGGCAGAGGTTGCGGTGAGCTGAGATTGCGCAGCTTGGGCAACAGAGCAAGACTCTGTCTCAAAAAAAAAAAAAAAAAAAAAGATTTTTTTTTTTAACCTAAAAAGTGAGAATCACTTAATGAACAGGAATTGGAGGGTGATCCCCAACCAGTATCTTTCCCTCCAATCAATGTTTAAAAATATAGAATGTAATACACTGGTTCTTAGGCTTTTTAAAGCCAGGTGGATGAATTCCAATGGATCTTCTCCAAAGTGAATGGAGATAGAATCTTATAGAAGTGTTTTAGGACAATATGGCCCTTCCCCTGATGCCATTGATACCCCCTATTGTGGAGCTCTAGTTTAAACCAGGCCAGTAAACATTCAGAAATAATGAACAGGAAGCCCAAAGAATAACTCCAATATGAATGAAGTTGGGGCAGATCAGCATTCTACAACTGTAGCTTATTTAAAGACAGATTTTTATTATCTGAGTCTTTGCTGAAATGAAAAGATCAGGTGCCAGGGGTAAGAGAGGAGTCACCCAAAGATGAAAATAAGGTCATGCACGTTGATTGAGAGATGCAGGTTGAAATGAAAGCCCCACTTTGGGCTGGGCATGACGGCTCATGCCTGTAATGCAACACTTTGGGAGGCTGAGACAGATGGGTCACCTGAGGTCACGGAGTTCAAGACCAACCTGGCCAACATGGCAAAACCCCATCTCTACTAAAAATACAAAAATGAGCCAGGCATGGGGCGCATGCCTGTTATCCCAGCTCCTCAAAGACTGAGGCAAGAGAAATTGCTTGAACTCAGGATGTGGAGGTTGCAGTGAGCCAAGATCGTGCCACTGCACTCCAGCCTGGGCAACAGAGTGAGACTATCTCAAAAAAAAAAAAAAAACCCAACAAACAAAACAAAAAAACCCTACTCTGAATGGCAGGGGAATGGCTGCAGCTGAGAAGACTGTGCTGAGGCCCACTTACAGAGTGTCCAGGGAATCTAGCAGCTTAATCAGGTCTCAAGGCAGTAACTGTATGGAGTCTAAAAGTGGGAGTCAAATATGAAGTGGCTTTTGGATGGCGCACATCAAGGCTTACAGTTTGATATGTGGCCCTAAATTATCTTGCTGCTTGCCTGTGAATTTGTAGCAGACCACAAGGTTATAAATTACAGCACTGTCTGCTGTAATGCAAAATGAAAAAACCTAAATGCTATGCGTAGGAGGATTAGTTGAATTATATTGTAACACCATCCCCAGCACAGAGTCAATGAGCTTTTAAAAACTGAGGAAGGGGCCGGGTGCAGTGGGCATCTGCATGTACTCCAGCCATTTTGGAGGCCCGAGGGGCGGGGTGGATCACACGGTAGGAGATCGAGACCGATACCGGGTTAACACGAGTGTAACCCCGTCTCTAACGAAAATAGCAAAATTAGCTGGGTGTGGTGGAGGGCGCCTGTACTCCAAGCTACTCAGGAGGCTGAGGCAGAAGAATTGCTTGAACCAAGGAGGTGTAGGTTGCAGTGAGCCAAGATCCCCCCACTGCACTCCAGACTGGGTGACAGAGCAAGACTGTCTCAAAAAAAAAAAAAAAGCAAAATTCAATGTATCTGTAGTAAGCTACACTTCATGTAAGAAGGGAATATAAGAAAACACACCACTATCAGCTCATTATGCAAAAGAAATACAGAAAGAAAAAGCCAGAAATGAAAGAGTGGTTACGGGGGTGGGTTAAAAAGGGTTGGAATAGAAGAGAGGAACTGGAATAGGTTAGTGGGGATGAGAAGAAAGCAACATTTCTCTGAGAATCTTTTTGTATAGCTTTGGCCTTTAGAACTATTAGTAATGTTTCCAACAGTTCTTTAGTCATACCAGTCATATTTCAAGTGCTCCCCAGCCACGTGTGGCTAGCGGCTACCATACTGGACAGTGCAGATAGAGAACATTTCCATCATCCAGAAGGTTCTGTTGGACAGTTTTCTCTGGGCCTATCAACAGTTCCACAGACTCTATATAGCAATCTTGGACCACTACTCTGCTAACTTTTTCTCACACCTTACCTGCTTCAGGCAATCAGAAACATTCAGGTTGTCACCACCTTTTCATGGCCACTCTCCTTCCTATTCAGCCTACACTCACATCTGCACCATTTTGGCCATTATCATGGTCGCATGTCAACTTTCAGTCTTTTCTCTTTCTGACATGCCTGTTCTGCTAACCTCCAACTACAAGTTAATCTGAATGCAAGGCTTGCTTCTACATTTGAGCCGCTTAAGAGCAACTGGAAAAAAAAAATAACTCTTGTGGGGATCACGGCCATGAGACATGGAGGAGGTACAAGCTCAAGTGCCAGTCTGGCAATGCTTTTGTGTGCAACTGGTCAATTCTCTATACGATTCCTTCTCTACTCTCTTTAAGATCCCTAAGACAGTGCTTATCAAACTTTAAAATGCAAACAAATCATCTGGGGGATCTTGTTAAAAATGCAGATTTGGCCGGCGCGGTGGCGCACGCCTGTAATCCCAGCACTTTGGGAGGCTGAGGTGCGTGGATCACTTGAGGTCAGGAGCTCGAGACCAGCCTGGCCAACATGGTGAAAGCCCATCTCTACTAAAAACACAAAAATTAGCTGGGTGTGGTGGAGGGCGCCTGTAATCCCAGCTACTCAGGAGGCTGAGGCAGGAGTACTGCTTGAACCCAGGAGGCGGAGGTTGCAGTGAGCCGAGATTATACCTCTGCACTCCAGTGTGGGTGACGGAGTGAGAGTCTGCCTCAAAAAAAAATGCAGATTCTAATCCAGTAGATCTGTTGTGTATGGGACCAGAGATTCTGCATTTCTAGCATGACATGCATGCTGCTAGCTCAAGAGCCATGAACAGCAAGGCCCTAACCCAGTGGTTCTCCAACTTCAGTGTGCACAATTTCCTGCAGGGCTTACTGAAACACATATTGGGCTGAATGCGGTGGCTCATGCCTGTGATTTGGGAGGCCGAGGTGGGCGGATCACGAGGTCAAGAGATCAAGACCATCCTGGCTAACACAGTGAAACCCCGTCTCTACTTAAAAAAATACAAAAAATTAGCCGGGCGTGGTGGCACGTGCCTGTAGTCCCAGCTGCTTGAGAGGCTGAGGCAGGAGAATTGCCTGAACCCGGGAGGCAGAAGTGAAGGTTGCAGTGAGCCGAGATCGCATTACTGCACTCCAACCTGGGTGACAGAGTGAGACTCCGTCTCAAAAAAAAAAAAAAAAAAACAACCACGAATTGCTGGACCCCATTACTGAAGTCTCTAACTCAGTAAATCCGGGATAGAGCCTGAGAATGTGTGTTTCTAATAAATTCCCAGGTCATGCCGCCACTACTATTCCAGGGAACACACTTTGAGACCATTGCCCTAAGCCACTGCTGGCCTTCTGTCTCCTATTTCACAGAGGCAATTGAGGCTAATGAGCGAGCAGCCCTATTGGAGCTCCTGTGGCACCTGCTCTTCCCATATTTCAGCCATCATCACACTACTGAAGGATGTTAATCTGCATTTTTAGTAGGATTCCCCAGATGGTTTCTTTGCATTTTAAAGTTTGATAAGCACTGTTAGGGATCTTGAAGACAGTAGAGAAGGAATTGTATAAAGCATTGGCCAGAAGAATTTATTTATAATTAAGAAAAACACTGAGTAAAGAAGGGATGTATTTGTGAACATTCTGCATCCATTTCCCTTCTGATAATAGTATCCCAATTTTCTTCTAGGGATATATTTCTCCCTCCAGAATCGAGGTTAGTTTCAGATGGCATTAACTATTCCCTGCTCCAGGAGTAAGCATATGAATCAGGTCTGGCCAATCAGATACGCATTCCCCCTGGCCACAGGATAGCTCAAGGATAGGACTGTGCCCCAGTCAAAATTAGTAAGATACACTGAGGCTTTCTGGGACTGCCGAGGGAAGCTGAGACTCATCTCCACTTGACTTCGGTCAAGAACCACTTGAAGATTCGAGAACCATGGCAACTATCTTGCTCCACAAGTAGGGGAAGTTGACAGAGATACAGCCAATGTGCAAAAAGGAGAGGAGGGATGACTTGCCATAGTGACATAATATCTTGATCAAGCTCTACCCTTGGACTATTATGTGAGATAAAATTCCTTTTTGCTTAATCTCTCACTTGTGAGTAGGCTGCTTGTATGTCTCATTGGCATCCAGTAAAGGAGTTTAAGAGCTTTTTCTTAAAATTTCTTAAGGCTAATTCTAGCCTTATTGAAGAGGATTAAGCAAGGAGTTCCCAGAGCTAGAGAGGATGAAGGTGAATGCTTTAAGTGTGGAGATTGGTCCTAATAGGCGGCTAAAAACTATGAGCAGGGATGGGAATTCAAGGCTTTCATTTCTTCAGAGGTTCAGCTGCAGCTGAATGCAGACCCCCCCCAAATGGGAGGCAGCTGCGGGATGCTCGCAGAGGCTGGTTGGCAACACAGCCTACGAGCAGTGTGCAGCTTTCCAGGAGCAAGCTGAGGCTGGGGGTGGAGGGTCAAGTATAATAGGGCTCTGGAGTGGCATCCTGCAGCACCCATGCCTGGGCAGACATTCTGCAGCAACACTGGGCTACAGCAGCCATGATGGAAAGCAGTGGCGACTCAAGCCCCAGCCCTCCCCTTGTTCCCTTCTACTGCATACTGGGGTTCATGTACCACCCTGGGTGGGGAACACGCAGCGACTCCAATCACTGCTCCAATGTTTAGGCCCTAAGTGCTCTGCCCTTACGAATGAGATTAATGTCCTTATAAAAGAGGCTTCAGGGAACTACTTGGCCCCCTCCCCTCCTTCTGCCATGTGAGGATATTGCAAGAGGAGCCATCTTGAAGGTAGAGTGAGACTTTGCCAGACACCAAATCTGCCTGCGCCCTGACCTCGAACTTCACAGCCTCCGGAACTGTGAGAAATATATTTCTATTTATAAATTACCAGTCTAGAGTATTGTGTTATAGGGCAGGAATGAACTAAGACACCTGGTTAGGATCTTTCAATCTGTGATCCAAGACACTACCTTGAGTTCTATCCAGATGGTTCTTATATAGTGTTATCACTATATGTAAAAAATATACACACACACTTACTATTATCTTATCCATGTAGTGTTATCACTATAGAGCAAACTCTTATAGCAGCCATCTGTACCCCCTTTTAACATTTTCTTTTGGAGGTCACATCCTCCAAAAAGAGCATTTTAACATGAAGTGTGACCTGCCAAAGTGAACAGACTATAGGAAACTCTATGTTTAAAAAAAAAAAAAATCCCACAGAGCCTTCCTGAATCTGCTCCATTTTAATTTAGAAATTTTGTGACTTAACATTTAGGTCCAAGTGTGGATTTCTTAACTTGTCACTGCAATGCTTTAGACCTTGTTGCTAATTTGCTTGGTTTACAATGTTGATTTGGATGACAAATTCAGATAATTCAGACCACCTGGAATTCCTGACGTTCAGGTCAGCATTGAGAACATCAGGGCTCTCCTGCTGCACGTTACAGATGCAGGATATTGGCCTGTTTCCAGGAGACAGGATAGTACTGTTCAGTGCCACCAGGGGGTTCCAGTGTGGCCTGCGAGGAGTGGCTATCACTCTTGAGGGCGTGGAGCATCCTCTCTGTCCCTGGGATGGAATAAGTGTAGCCAAAAGCAAGTGGGCAGACTCAACACTATGTATTCCTGGTGGCTCTGAAAATGACAGAGCAAATCATGGGAACTGCACAAAATGAATGACATTGTAAACTGTTTGACTTCTTACTTGAAAACAAGAACTAGAAGTCTCTCTGAGCCTACCCTGGCTCAGGTGGCTGCCCGATAAAAAGAAAAATAAAGAAAAAATAAACAAGAACCAATAATTATGGGGTACATTCAATAAAAAAGTAAAGTAATCACAGGCACAGGAGCTCACACCTGTACTCCCAGCTACTCGGGAGGCTGAAGTGGGAGGACTGGTTGAGCCTGGGAGATCAAGGCTGAAGTGAGCTGTGATTGTGCCTTTGCACTCCAACCTGGGTGACAGAGCAAGACTCTATCTAAATAATACTTTCTAAAAATACTTTCAAATAATTACACTGGCACATCTAGTCATCTATTGGGGTAAGACTTTATTTCTAAGTTCTTTAAGCTGGAAATAACATGTATTTCAAAAGATACTCCAAAAGAAATGAGGAATTTGGTTCCTCTATAACAAGAACAAAACTTAAGCTTTTCAGGTTTTTTTGTCATTGAATTATCTGGCTAAAGAGAATGTGTCCCAAAGTTACTTCAATACACCATAGCCTAAAGGTTTTAAATAAAACTTAACACTTAACTAAATTAAAACTAGTGTCATATTCAAATGCAAGGAATAAAAAGGGAAATGAAATTGTATCAGTTGGTCAGCATTTACTAAACACCTCCCAAGGGTAAAACACAGGGAATGGGATGGAAAGAGAAGGATGTTGGAGATACTATGAACACAGAATTGACGAGTGTGATTGGGGTGCAGGGGAAGAGGGCAAAAGGAGGAAGCAAAGAATGAGATCTCCAGTTTGGGTGAACCTGGGGATACAGACAGAACACTCTGGCTTATGTATCCCCGTGTGGGGTGCTAATGCTTAATTACAGGAATAAAATTATTCCTGTCAAAGAAACGTTTGACAACTGTATCCAAGAGTATGTCATAACATAGAAATCAATGAAATGATACAGCTATCTCACAGGCTAACAATAACCTCTAGAGAAGTCTGCAAAGGTGAAAAATAATTAGTAATTAAAGAGCTGATCAGGATTGTCTGTGATCATCCCAGCCTCTGAAATAACATTAGCAGAGTCTGAAGTGGTGGCTTCCCTGGCAGCTTATTTCTCCACCAGTCTCCCAGGGCCTACTCTGCACCATCACCTCTGGAAACCCTGGGAAGTGCAGGCCAGGGTTCTCTGCTTCAAACCAAGTCTGGGCCCTAGAGGACACGAAGAGCCCTCTATGTTTAGATTAGAGTGATTCTTTGAGGCTGGCTTTGTGTCTCTGGTGCACCTGAACTGCTTCCATGGCACTGATCAGGAAGGGAGTCAAATCGGTCAGGTCGGTGCACTTAGAAGTTTGAGTTTTAAAAGTCAGGAAGAATTTCATTCTGGAAAAAAAAATTACAAATATTTACCCAGAAATCCACAGCAAGTTAGAAAGTCTTGGAACTAAGAAACAACTTACAAAGTTTCGCTGATCAAAAAAAAAAACTTGACAAAACAGGCACTTGGCAACATGTGCTGCAGAATATCAATGCACAGCCGCCAGAGATCTGCAGAAATACCTGAGGGACCATAAGCATAAAGAGGCTTCTACTAATATTCTTGCATATAAGAAGCAAACATGATGAAGAGATGGATGTATTTTATATTCTTAAAGCAAACTGAATAAACTTAAGAATTATCACTTGTACATCTTGTTATAAAATGGGCTTGAAAAAACACTAATGCATGTGTTCATAACATTTAGGGGAGGATTTGATAAAGAAGAAGAAGACATTAGTTTTATGTTCCAACTAAAATGTTTGCCCTATTTTTTTAATAGAATTTGTACATTTCTTTGACATTTTCTATAAGCTGTATAGCGTTGATGTGCTAAATTTTTTCTAAGACTGAGAGATTCTTTGTGGTTGAATTTTCTATTTTAAAACCAATTTTGGGAGATGCCATTGCCAATACACATTGGTAATTCAACCACCTGATCACTACACAAAAAGAATTCATTTTGGACCCAAAGTTTTGTACATCTTACTGTCAACTGTGGCAGAACTTACATTAATTTTTATTTCGCAATTGTTATATTAGGAGATAAATATACTAGTCTAAGAAATGTGGATTCTAGTTGTATTTCACAGCAGTACGTGTGTTAGAGTATGAATTCCAGTAAGTATGTTAGACTACCTTGCTGATTTCAGGTTAATGCAAAGATATTTGTAAACGCCTCTGTAGCTCTCACAAGACACACTAGAATAGATAAAAACAAGAGGACTAAAATCCTTAGATTATTGATTGGGTTACTTTTTATTACAGAACCTTCTACATTGACATACACTGTTTAATCATTTGTCTTCCAAGTTTATTATTTGTGGCTGTTTTTTTTTTTTTTTTTTTTGAGATGGAGTCTTGCTCTTGTCACCCAGGCTGGAGGGCAGAGGCGCGGTCTCGGCTCACTGCCAGCTCCGCCTCCCGGCTTCAAGCAATTCTCTGCCTCAGCCTCCTGAGTAGCTGGGACTACAGGTGCCCACCACCATGCCCGGCTAATTTTTTGTATTTTTAGTAGAGACAGGGTTTCATCGTGTTGGCCAGGATGGTCTCAATCTCCTGCCATCATGATCCGCCCGCCTCTGCCTCCCAAAGTGCTGGGATTACAGGTGTGAGACACCACGCCTGCCCTTTTTTTTTTTTTTTTTTTTGAGATGGAGTCTCACTCTGTCACCCAGGCTGGAGTGCAGTGGCAAGATCTCGGCTCACTGCAACTGCCTCCCAGGTTCAAGCGATTCTCCTGCCTCAGCCTCCTGAGTAGCTGGAATTTAGGCACATGCCACCACACCCAGGTGATTTTTGTATTTTTAGTAGAGAGGGGGTTTTGTCATATTGGCCGGGCTGGTCTTGAACTCCTGACATCAGGTGATCCACCTGCTTCGGCCTCCCAAAGTGCTGGGATTATAGGCATGAGCCCTTCCTTGTACCCGGCCCATTTTTGTTTTTTAATAGGTAGAATCAGCTAAAATTTGGCTTACTTTATAGTAATTCCTTTAAATGTAGATACTAAGTAAACTTTAGTGGCTAACACTTAGGATGACAGCCAGGATGGGTCATTTATGAGATGTTAAAGCCACAGCACTGACCTTTACCCCCTCAGACTGATGGACTAGTGGATAACAGTCCTATTGCAGGAAATTTCTTGTTGCTGGCTGGCTGGCACTAATCCCATGGGACAAGGGCATGGCTTGCCTCTGTTGTTTTGTCAGGACCATCTTAGATTCCACGTTGAATGTGCTACTGAGAAACAACAGATGGAAAGGTATTGCATCAGGCTCTAAGAAACTGCATGAGCTTCGTTTTTTGTTTTTTTTTTTTTCCTACACTATCGTGCTACTTCCCCCAGCTACCCAACAACCTTAAAACTCCTCACACTTTATGCCTCACTGCCTAAGTTGTACGTACCATTTTGCTTAAATTCCACTGACCATAACTCAGTCAATGGCCTCTCCCAGCTTTAAGGCAGAATGGGAAATTTAATTTTTATTTCAGCTAAATTAGGGGTTCTATTGCTAATAAAAAAGGAGAGCACAGATATCAAAGGAGGGATATCCTCACAATCTCTCCCACCACCCAATACAATCCCACCTATCCTACGAGGTCTGGTACAAGTATCACTTATTCTGTAGTCCTCCTATTTCTTCCCCAATTCCTAGACAGAAACTTAACCACTCATTTCTCTGAAGCCCCTTGTGAGTATATGATCTGTGTACCTGTCTGATCTCATTCTGAATTGTAAGCCCTGAAAGTAACAGATGCTTAAGGCTGCAGAGAAGAGGAAACACACACAGTTGGTGGGACTGCAAATTAGTTCAGCCCCTGTGAAAAGCAGTTTGGAGATATTTCAAATAACTAAAAATAGAATTACCATTCGACCCAACAATCCCAGTATTGGGTATACACCCAAAGGAAAATAAATTCTTCTACCAAAACAATACCTGCACTAGCATGTTAATCACAGCACTATACACAACAGCAGAAGTATGGAATCAATCTAGATGCCTGTCAACAGTGGACTGGATTTAAAAAACATGGTACACATATACCACGGAATACTATACAGCCATAACAAAGAACAAAAGTATGTTCTCTGCAGCAACATGGATGCAGCTGGAGGCCGCCATTGTAAGTAAATTAATGCAGAAACAGAAAACCAAGTATCAGGTGTTCTCACTCCTAAGTGAGAGCTAAACACTGGGTACAGATGGACAGAAAGATGAGAACAATCGGCTGGGGGTGGTGGCTTACACCTGTAATCCCAGCACTTTGGGAGGCTGAGGTGGGAGGATCACTTGAACTCGGCAGTTCAAGACTAGCCTGGGCAACACAGGGAGATCCCATCTCTTAAAAAAATTTTTTTTTAAGTTGTGAACAATAGACACTGGGGACTCTGAAAGGTCAAATGGAAAGACAAATTTACCATTATGTTGAAAAACTAGCTCTTAGGTACTATGTTCACTCTTTGGGTGATGAGCTCAATCAAAGCCCAAACCTCAGCATCACACAATATATCCATGTAACAAACCTGCACATGTACCCGATGAAGCTAAAATAAATAAATAGTAATAATAAAACATAAATTGTAAGCTCTGAGCTGTGTACCTCTATGTATATGTGGTTCCACATGTCACTCACTTTTGTATTATAATTTTTTTTTTTCTGAGACACCTCTGCCTCCCAGGTAGCTGGGATTACAGATACACGTCACCATGCCCGGCTAATTTTTGTATTTTTAGTAGAGATGGGGTTTCACCATGTTGGCCAGGCTGGTCTCGAACTCCTGACCTTGTGATCCACCTGCCTTGGCCCCCCAAAGTGCCGGGATTACAGGTGTGAGCCACCGTGCCCAGCCAAGAACCTTAGTCTTCAGCAAATCGAAAGTGCTGAAGAAACAGCTCTTTCCTGGTGGCACATTCTGGAAAAACATTTCACAACACTAGTGAGTGAGCAACCAGAGGCTTTGAGGAACTGGCTGACTGTTCTGGGGTGTGCCACTATTGTTGGCCACATGACATAAAACTGGCAGTGGCTGGAAAGAGCAACATCGAAAATGTTTGAGAGGTATATGTAACTCACCCAGGCCTTACTCTGCAAACAAAACATGAGTAACCAGGTAAGTACTTTCTGGCTGGTCAATAACTACTCCACAGCAGCTGCGTGAGTTCCCTGCAGTGGCATGGATGCTGGCTTACAGTGATGTTTGAAACCAAATCTACAGATGAAGACTTCAAAGGATTTTATGTCACTAATAAGAAGACTACCTTATTCCCAAAGTTTATCCATTAAACTATAAAACCGATATCAAATAAATATTCCACATTGACAGTGAAGACCCTGATGTGCCTGTTTTAAGTGGAGAAACCACTACAAAAAGAAAAAAAAAAATTTTTTTAAGAGAGAAAGTCTCAGGCCGGGCACAGTGGCTCACGCCTGTAATCCTAACTCTAGGAGGCCAAAGCGGGCGGATCACTTGAGGTTAGGAGTTCAAGACGAGCCTGGCCAGCATTGTGAAACCCTGTCTCTATTAAAAATACAAAAATTAGCTGGGCGTGGTGGTGCATGCCTGTAGTCTCAGCTACTCAGGAGGCTGAGGCAGGAGAATCGCTGAGGTTCAGGAGGCAGAGGCTGCAGTGAGCTGAGATTGTGCCACTACACTCCAGCCTCGGTGACAGAGTAAGACTTGGTCTCAAAAAAAAAAAAGACAAGGTCTCGCTCTGTCACTAAGGCTGGAGTGTAAGGATGTGATGAGAGCTCACTGAAGTCTCAAATTCTTGGGCTCAAGCAATCTTCCCACTTTAGCCTCCTGAGTAGCTGGGACTACAGGTGCATGCCAGAATGCCAAGCTGATTTTTAAAACTGTTTTGTAGAGATGAGGTCTTGCAATGTTGTCCAGGCTAGTCTTGAACTCCTGGCCTCAAGCGATCCTACTGCTTTGGCCTCCCAAAGTGTTGGGATTACAGGCGTGAGCCACAGCGCCTGGTGCAGAAATGGTTTTAAATACAGATAATCATGAGGGTTATAGTGATGAAGAAGAGGAAACTGTAAAATGGGTAGAACAATAATCACTAGATGATATGGTGAAAATGTGTGATCAGTCAGTGGTGGGCTTTGAGCCATGTACATTTATTCAGTGAACATGAGTTTACGGCAGTTTTCATAATTAAAAAGGAACTGACGGGAACCCAAATTAATGAACAATTATGACATGGGGAGCAAGGAGTCCTTAAAAAGGGCACCGCTAGAATGCAGCATTTAATCCTGCTCCTGTTGGCATCAGATGTCCCCCGCCAGCCTGCTGCTGGGACAGGCACTGATGTTCCTCTCCTCTAGGATGTACAAACACTAGAGGTTACACATGTTCATCCTTGTATGCACAGGCATATTTAGCTGAATTTGAACCTGTATATATTAAAAGAGTTATAAAATGTTTTCCTTAGAAAAATGACTACTAGAGTACTTACAATCTATATTTGTTCCACTCTTTCATTGACTGGTTTATTATTTATTTATTTATTTTTTTGAGATGGAGTCTTGCTCTGTCACCAGGTTGGAGTGCAGTGGCGTGATCTTGGCTCACTGAAACCTCCCCCTCCCAGGTTCAAGTTGTTCTCTGCTCAGTCCAGAGTAGGCTGGGTAATTACAGGGCCAGCACCCCTGCAGCTATTTTTTTTTTTTTTTTTGAGGCCGGAGTTGCTCTGTCGCCAGGCTGGGGTGCGTGGCGTGATGTTCGGCTCACTGCAAGCTCCACTTCCTGGGGTTCATGGCCATCTCCTGCCTCAGGCCTCCCCAGTAGCTGAGACGATATAGGCACCCACACATGCTCTGGCTGTTTTTTTGTTTGTTGTGTTTTTTTTTTTTTTTTAGTAGAGACGGGGTTTCACCGTGTTAGCTAGGATTGTCTCAATCTCTTGACCTCGTGATCTGCCCGCCTCAGCCTCCCAAAGTGCTGAGATTACAGGCATGAGCCATCACACCCAGTTTACTGGTTTATTATTTAAATAAACTACACAGTTTGTCCTAATTAGTACTTCATACACTTTACTGCAGAAATATTAATGCTTCATTATAGTGTGCTACCTTAGACCCTGCCAGGGCTTTTATGTGACGTGACGTGTGGTTATTGTATACATACATATTTCCTTTCAAAAAATCTGAAAAGCTCTGAATTCTAAAACTCATCAGGTTGCAAAGATAGATAATAGACAGTGGACCTTATTTTACTCAAAAGGCAAATAATGCACTTGCAGGAAATCATTGCACTGTTTCAGGTTAAGATCCTTTTTGAACAATTTCTAATGCCTGTCACTCTTGGTTATGTACATTTCTAACTAAAGGCAGCTACTCTATCTTTCCCTCATAGGATAGAGACCACTGTTAAATTCTGGCACTGATACAAAAACAAAACTTCGCAGAAAAACTGAAGGAGTTTAATCACATCTGGTGGTAATACCTCCTAAATGATATCACACTCTAAGAGCCTTTGCAAGATTATATGAAGTACGAATTAATTTCTAATAATGCAGCTTTGTCATTATGAAGAGCAGTTATTCACTGTGAAAACCAAGTGTGGGCTCAGACCATCTGGCTTCTTGAGCTCTTGTGTTTGAGTATCAGTCTTCCATAGACCCCTCAGCTCAAACCAGGCTGTCACTTCTGGCTGCTCCCAGGGTACCTGCCATAGCATCCTCACAAACGTGCCAAAGCTGGAAAAACTTCATTTTGTTATCTAAATTAAGAATAAACGATCCAGGAGAGCCTCAACTTTAGACATCTGTTTTAGCTGTTCAGAGGCCCATCTCCTTCCTTCCTGCTTCTCGGCTGGGTTAGTAATAACTGAGGTACCAGGTAAATAACCCGTAGAGGGCCAATGCACCATTGCGTATTATTCTTACTTTGTCTCTAAAAAGATTAAAGGGAGAAATAGTGATTATCTGCTGGATCTTTGTGGAGACACTAATCCACCTCTTTGGAAGGCCAAGGCCAAGTTGAGAACATGAACAGAACACACACCAGTAGCAGAGCCAACGCACCCTGCATTTATTTTAATATTCTACTCCAAATCCCTTGTGTGGAAGGAAAAAGAAAGTAACTTTTTTTCTTTTTTTTTTTTTGAGACGGAGTCTCGCTCTGCCGCCCAGGCTGGAGTGCAGTGGCGCGATCTCCACTCACTGCAAGCTCCGCCTCCCAGGTTCACGCCATTCTCCCGCCTCAGCCTCCTGTATAGCTGGGACTACAGGCGC